GATATTTTTTCAATTGAATTAAGAAAGCTCCTCATTTTGGAGGTGAGGAGACCATGCAGCAGCAGCAGCACGGCATGGCAGAAACCAAGGAGAGGTTCCTACCGAACCGATTGTGGTTGCAGTCCATCTTCTACAGAGCAAGAACAGAGATCATCTATATTCTGGAATCCTAGCCTAAAATTTGTTTAAAGGGATAAGAAGTAAGGATTTCTCTGAGGCACCCTGCCATGAAGGGACTACTTGAACACTATGTGCATTTATGTCTTTAAGACTTACCCTACAGCTGACATCACTTTCTGAAATAGCTTCTCTGAACTTCTTAAAACGCATGGACGAGGTTAAGCAATGAGGCAGGCAGGATCCTTACCAGTGATGCTCTGAATGAGGGCCAAGTCTAACAACATGGATATAATACTTTCTCCACCATCACTCTGTCTTCACAATAAGGGCAGACTTAGAGGACAAATCATCAGGTCCAAAAGCCCTTACTGCAGGAAATATTTGAGGCCAATAATCAACAGGTACCTAAGAAAATGCTTTTAAGACACAATGAAGCATAACTTCAAAGGTTGTGATCCAGAATCCCAAGTTGGCAAACAGGAAAGAACTGGCTCTTTTTAAATGACTAACTACCTGCACCAGAGGCTGGGAAGAGGCATTAATCATCATACGCAGAATGCTGTAATTAGCAGCTTTTAAAAAGCCAAGCTTTTTGTGTTTAAAATGTGGAAAAAACTGACACTGGACCAAATACAAGATATATTCATAAACTCAGGCACCCAATCAAGCAGGGAGTTCCCAGCGGCTACTGTACATCTAGCACGGCAGCATCATCTTTTAGTATAATAGTACAGTTTATATGTTTAACTTAGTTTTTAATGTAGTCTGTCCTGTTGACCTGAACATCTGAGTAGAAAATTATGTGAAAAAATAAAATATCAAAGAGCCTACCCATCCAACAACTAACTCAATAGCTTTTCTTTTATCTCTGATGCTGTTTAACACCTCCGGTCATGTATACTTCGTAATTCTGTCCATCTGCAGCCATGTGGTCTGGGTTCAATCTCCCAAACTGCTATGTAAAAGTCATGAAACTGACAGGTTTCTTAACCTTTTCATGCTTCAGTCTTGTCTGTAAAATGGGGATAACAGGACCTACTTTATAAAGTCAGTGCGAGGAGTAAATAAAATACATATAAAGCAACTGGAATAACATCTGTCAAAAAGGTTCAATGAATGTCAGAATTTTTAAAAGCCAAGGCTGATAAATACGGTCTATCTCTAAGACTGAATACAGTATTATATATCCAAAACAGGTCCAGCATGTGACATAACAATGTTATAGTGCTTTAGAGAGTTTGCAGCATATCATCTATTAGTAATGACTTCAGGAACTGTGCATGATGTGAGCTGCCTCTCTTCCTGCACCCCCAAAAAGCATTCCAAAGATGTTTTCATTGCTCAAGTCCTACGTAGCTAATGAACACCAAGTAAATCCCTAACCATCCAGAACTGTCCTGGTCCTGGTGACTCTCCCTCTCTGCCAGTGGGATCAGAAGGAACAAAGAGTTGCCTCCATGCCACTGTGAAATGCTTACAATACCCAGTGAGTATTGTGGCTCACAAACTACAAAGGACCTCAGGAATGCCTCAGTCAGGTTTTCTCCTACGTTCCATATGCCACTGAGGAAATTCTGGGCACTTGATAATGTCCCTGGAGAATAAAAAGCCAGTATTCACCAAATTACCCCTCTTTGCTGCCAAAGAACAATGGGGTTTCAGTAATTTTCTCCTGTTACAGCAGAAATAGATAGGGCATGACTTCAACATTAGCAAAATGTGAAGATCACTCCAATGTGCACTTGTTTACATCAGCATGAGGGCTGGCTAGCACGGCTCTGTGCTTTGGCCAGAGACTGCCCCTAACCCCATTCAGCTGTTTGGCAATGAAAGCCACAGATGACAAATTGTGGCTCTGTACTACTCCCTCTCAACTTAGAGAACAGAACAACAAAAATTAAAAGCCTCAAATGTTTATAATGCATCATAATTCAAAAGAACTGCCAGTAAATTCACCCGATAAACTCCTTACATTTACAAGATGGGGACCTCATCTTAATTTATCAAGCACCTAGTAAATGCCTTAATCTAGAATATACTCAGAAAACATGTTCAACAGTGACTGAATGAATGATCCTATACTCTATGTAATTTCTATGTTCAACACAGAGGTGTCCTAATAATTATATTTCAATATATTGTCTCAGTTCTTATGGATGATGAAAAACACAATACTAGTTTTTCCATTCCAAGCAATCTGTTAAAGGAAACATTACTTATAAACAGATTCTAAGCTATCAGGATGGTAAATTAAAAATGTACTTGCATGTTTTGGATACATTTTTAAAACCATTTGTCAGATTCTTGTTCTGGCAAGATTCTTATGACTAGCCACATTACTTCTTGAGCTTAAAATGAATCTTTATAGTCTAGCTTCTTCCAATTAAGTAATAAATGCGTATGGCTCTTCGGCATTTATTATATATGTCTTTAAGAAAATTATGAAATATGTTTCCATGTTCCATCGATTTGAACAAAAATTAGCTTACTTTCCTACTTCTTGAAATACCTCATTGGTAGATAAAATGACTGTTTCTACATTACCTGGTATGATTATTTTTTCCAGCAAAGGACCCAAGTCACACAGAATATACTAACTCTAGCCAATTTAAACACAGTGTCTCCTAAAAAAACCGAATAAAGTCAAACAGCTAACAGACACATAAGAAAATGTTCAATATTACTCAGCATCAGAGAAATACGAGTTGAAACCACAATGAGATACCACCTCACACCAGTCAGAATGGCTAAAATTAACAACTCAGGTAAAACAGATGTTGGCGAGGACATAGAGAAAGGGGAACCCTCTTACACTTTTGGGTGAGAAGGCAAGCTGGTGCAGCCACTGGAAAACAGCAACTGCACTATTAGTATTTATCCCAAGGATACAAACATAGTGATTCGAGGGGCACCTGCACCCCAATGCTTATAGCAGCAAGGTCCACAATAGCCAAAGTATAGAGAGAGCCCAGATGTCCATCAACAGATGAATGGATAAAGAAGATGTGGTATACACACACAATGGAATATTACTCAGCCATCAAAAAGAATGAAATCTTGCCATCTGCAATGACATGGCTGGAACTAGAGGGTATCCACAAGTGAAATAAGTCAGTCAGAGAAAGACAAATATCATACGATTTCACTCATATGTGGAATTTAAGAAACAAAACAGATGAACACAGGGGAAAGGAAGGAAAAATAAAATAAGATAAAAACAGAAAGGGAAGCAAACCATAAGAGACTCTTAACAATAGGGAACAAACTGAGGGTTGCTGGAGGGGAGGTGGAGGGGGATGGAGTAACTGGGTGATGGGCATTAAGGAGGACACTTGATATAATGAGCATGGGTAGTGTATGCAACTGATGAATCACTAAATTCTACCCCTCAAGCTAATTATATACTATATATTAACTAAATTTAATTTAAATAAATAATAAATATTTTAAATGTTCTCAAATTAAAAAAAATTTAAAACTTCAGCAATGCTGTCATGTTAACTACTGAGATCAAATTATTTCTGAAAAGATTTGGAGCACGAGGAATTCTAGTATCTCTGTCATACATTTTCTGCTTTAGAAACTCTGCATCCATTTCTGAAAAGAGAAATATGCACAAAAGTCCTGGGAACTGGGTGGGTGCGTGTGGGTGTGTGTGTGTGTGTGATACAAGGACCAAATCACAGCTTAAGTAAGTCTCCAAACCTGACTTAGGCCAAAAAAGACAGATTCAATACCCACACTGGGGGAAAGACAAGGGGCTAATTTTTGAAATAAAATTAATATACTGTATTTCCCTAGATAAACCATTTTTTAAAAGATTTATTTATTTGACGGAGAAGAGATCACAAGTAGGCAGAGAGGCAGGCAGAGAGAGAGGGGGAAGCAGGCTCCCCACTGAGCAGAGAGCCCAGATGCAGGGCTCGATCCCAGTACCGTGACCAAGATCATGACCTGAGCTCAAGGCAGAGGCTTAACCCACTGAGCCACCCAGGCACCCCTAGATAAACCATTTTTAAGGTAATCATGACTAGTAGAGAGGTGAATTAAGTAAAGATTATGAACAAAAGCTGAAAAACTTGCAGTAACTTGAGGCGGATAATGACACTGCCCTCCCTCGCACACAGCGCCCTGCCTCCACCCACAGGCCGCCAGGCTCGCCCCACTGTCTCTCTGAGGTTGAATAAATGCCAACTACTTTCTGAAGCTGACCTGACCTTGACAGTCAGTAACTGCCTACCTTTTGAGTTCAAACATTTTGTTAGACTTCCAAGATATGTATGATTAATGTTACCACCAGCATATTTCATGAAAGGCCACCAGCGTTCCTCCACAACCCCCAAAATTACAAACCAGGGACAGAATGTTTTCACTTTGGCTTCCCATCAAAGTACAGAGCAGATAAGAGTTAAGTAATACAAAATATAGTTTTCATCCCAGAGATCCTCCAAAGAAAGTAAAAGGCCATATATTCTACAAGGTCAAGAATCACTCGCCGGGAAACCAGATCTTGTGTTTTAGTTCTAGGATTCTAATGCCTGCCTCTGTAACGTTCTAGGAACCTGGAGAAAACCAGCATTTCCTGGTGGTTGCGGGACACTCTTCTGCAGGATGCGAACAGGCATGCATGTGGAGTGGGAAAGTCTGGATTCAAGCAGAGCTAAAATGGTCACTTGACTATAGAACACCTGCAGGGCTTTAATAAGGTAATCACACTATACATTTCCTAGATAAAATCCCATTATGATGCCTTTAGTAAACCAAGTTGAGCAAGATCATGAGGCAAATTTAGAAATGCTTCAAAGAAGGCTGTTCTGTGTTTTTTTCTCATTGCCACAATATTACTGAATACTTCCTATCAGCCTCTAAGCTGCTCTTACCTGATATGCGTTGCAGGCAGAGATTCATACTGGCGTGACAAGAAGAGCTCCCTATGTTTCAGCTGATGCTTCTGTTTATCCGTCAAGTCGGCTTCAATTGTGGTTTCTGATTCTTCCTCAATTTCTTCTACACAAATAAAATTCAAAGAATGCATTATTACAGGGCACATTATCTATCTGGACATCAAGACAGATTAACCTTTCATTCAAAATGTTCTTCAAACCAACTTTCATTATTTTATTTTAAATTTACATATCTAACTTGTCATTTGCATTACAATCATAAAATGACATGAATTGGGGCCACAAACAAAGAGGAAGAACTCTAATTTTAAAATGGCAGATGGAACATATGCATTTATCTCCTCTTCCCCCATAAAACCACACCAAATAGCAATTAAAATGCACACACATTTCAATGACAATAAAAGTGGAAACGACGATAGAAGAATCAGCCAAAAAAAAGTTTTAGAGGATGGAAAGCAGAGGCAAAAAAAAAAAAAAAAAAAAGGTGCAAACTTAGCCAAGAGAGGGAAGTGATAATCTATATACGTATAGACAGATGCAAGGAGAAGGCAAGCACAAAGCTTGAAGTGACTTAGACATCAAAGACATCAAGTATTGTGAGAAAGAGGGGAGGGCAAGAGAAAAAGACATCAGGAAAGGTTGAAAGTCTATCTACAACACTCTAACTAAATCCCAGACTTTTCTATTTAAAAAAGAGAACAGCCAGAAAGTAAATAAATAAAAAGTAAAAAAGAATAATTGGAAAACAAGAAATAGGGTAACACTTTTAAAATTTGATAACACACAAAAAGCTAATGGAAGGATTAGAAAGTACTGCTAAGGAAATCTCCCAGAAATTTCAACACTAAGACAAAGAGGTAAGTGAAAACCGAAAGCTAAAATAAATAAAATAAAATAAAATAAAAATAATTCATGAAGCCCAACATCCCAAGACTAAAAGTTTCAGAAAGACAACAATAGGGAAGACACACTTCTTCATCTCTTTTGGTGGGGAGAGGGAGTAAGGAAAGACCTATCAAAGAAATGATTCAAGAACATTTGCCCTTACTGAGGGAGAGGCATGTCCACACTGAATTTCCAGCATACTTAAATTTTTTAAGTGCTAACATGAGATCACAGAAGTTTACAGAAAGAAAACATAGGTCACATGCAAAGATCTAGAATCAGAGTGGAATTCTATATGAATAGCAACACTATTCTATCCTAAGATGGTGGAGAAATGTTATTCAAGAGGAAAAATGATAATCAACCTAGAATTGTACTTGTAAATTGTAAACTATTTATCAAGTCTGGAAACAGAGTAAGAATAATCTTTCATTCATTCAACCAAGATTTATTAGGTGCCCAAAACAGGCACTATTTGAGATGCTAGAGACAAGCAGTGAGCGTAAGTTATTGGAGAAGAAACAATTCAAAGTATTTGCCCTTGAGAAGCAGGGTTGGAAGCAAGGGACAGGAGACAGCAACATTTCACGTAAGTTTAAAAAAAAAAAAAAAACACTGCATTTAATAATCTTTTTAAAGAAAAATATGAGGGCTCCTGGGTAGCTCAGTTGGTTGGGCAACTGCCTTCGGCTCAGGTCATGATCCTGGAGTCCCAGGATCGAGTCTCGCATCAGGCTCCATGGGGAGTCTGCTTCTCTCTCTGACCTTCTCCCCTATTATGCTCTCTCTCTCTCTCTCTCTCAAATAAATAAATAAAATCTTTAAAAATAAAAAAAAATTTTTAAAGTAAAGAAAAATATGAACAAGTATCATTTACAAATATAATTCTAAGTAATTTTAGACAAAACTTTCTTAATATAATACCTCTAGGGGCTCACAGATCCTCCCTCTGCAGCCTTACCTGGCCAGGCTGGGTGGGAATAGCAGTGGGGGGGGACTCAGATGGTAAGACTAGTCGAAGGGGTAGGAAGAGCTTAAGTTTAGGACTCAGAGGCCTTACTTTTGGGGCACTGATGGGCAACACACACACACACACACACACACACACACACACATACACACACAGGTATATTTCTGCTTCTCACTATTCTTGTAAATTCTCATTTATGGACCCAGAACCACAAATGAGATTTTATCACATATATAATTTTCTAATTATGCAGTGTTTTTGAACTGTGTAAGGGCAATGAATGGGATTAAGTATCAGATCTTTTCTACAATACTTTCAAATTCTTAAAACTCTCGATTGAAAATGAACCTGAAAAACTGATTTAGAAAGGCTCACTTAGGGGCCCTTGGGTGGCTCAGTGGGTTAAGCCTCTGCCTTCAGCTCGGGTCCTAGTTTCAGGGTCCTGGGATCGAGCCCCACATCAGGCTCTCTGCTCAGCAGGGAGCCTGCTTCCCCCCTCTCCCTCTGCCTGCCTCTCTGCCTACTTGTGATCTCTCTCTCTGTCAAATAAATAAATAAAATCTTAAAAAAAAAAAAAAAGACTCACTTAGACTAAAGTGACTTAAAGTTCTTCACTCTTTTTAATCAACTACTCAAAAAGAAACCCAACACTAAAACGGCCAGATACTTCCATAGACATTTCACCAGTGAAGATCAATGAAATTACTGGTGCATTAGCTCTATTAGCACCCGCAAAATTATACTCCTTACTTAATGAGTATTTGATAAATTGTTGTCCTGTAAAACACAACTAACTGAATTCTAATGCATACCCTACGGAACTAAAACTCCAACAAGCTCTACAAATAATCGCAGCAAATCTTAGTCTCTTACACAACCTCTTGGTACAGGGTGAAAAGGACTAGAATCTCTGACGTGCAACCGAACCAAAGACAGAAATCACCAAACAGCACCTAAAACTCACCTTCAAAATTTACTAGTGTTAAATTCCATTTATATATTTTCATAAATTAACACTGGCTTCTGAATAGGAACAACTCCTATACCATTAACATCCTAAAAACATGAAATGACCACAGTGGCAAAACTGGCATTTAGACAATGAAAAAATTAAAAGACTTAATAGAATTATCATCATCAGAAATTTGGTACATGGTACATGTACCATTTTTAAAAATCTGTAATTTTTAAAACCATTTTACCAAGCTTGATGGAACTTCAAATTTGCTACCTTCCAAAAGTTATTAAAGTAGAAGTCCCATACTCTATACATACTTTATACAATGATAGGAAATGATACCAAATTTTTTACTGTACTTTCTCTACAGCTGGGATAATTTCACCAGTTTATTAGCAAGAAGGCACTGGGATATGGGAGATCAGTCTTTTCAGTAGTAGATGACAATCAGGGACTCAGGCAAAGCTTTAGAGAACGGGCATGTGACATGTACAAGACCAGAGCTGGTGATGAAGGATTTAGGTACCTGCACAGTAAGGGACAGAATGCAGGGAAGGAGCAGCCATTACTGATTCTAGTTACTTAACTGAAACTGGGTGTTTTTCACAATAGTTCAGAATTCTCATTCTTACATATTAGTTGTGGGCGATGGAGGGGAAAGCAGACAGGAGGAAAGTCCTCCACAGGTTATTCCCAAGCTTCCCTATGTTGCCCATGATGATGTTAGCTGGCACAGATGGTACAAAAAAGCAGGCAGTTAAACATTTGTCTGCAGATGCTTTTAACAAGTACCCAAATGTTTGAACCAAATTATTGGATCGAAAATAGCTCAGTATTGATGCAACTCATTTGTCTAGTAAGAAAAAAAAATCTTCAAAAGAGGAATAAGGAAGTTGAATAAAACTAGAAGGATTTTTACGACAATGGAGATTTCAGGAGACTACCTGAATGAAGAGAAACAGTTTGGCAGTTTAGAGGCAAATAATAAAGAAAAATCAGTTACATGTTCATCATTAGCAATGAATAATCCAAAACTGAAATTAAAAAAGCAATTTCATTTACGATGGCACCAACAGAAAAAAAAATACTCAGAAAAATATTTAACAAAGGACAAATCTTGTATACTAAAAACTATAAACACTGTTAAAGGAAATTAAAGACCTAAATAAATGGAGAAACTATGTTCACAGATTGAATGACTTACTATGGTTAACACAGCAATTCTCTCCAAATTTATCTACAGATCCAGTGTAACTTCTATCAAAATTCCCACTGCCTTTTCATAAAAATTAATAAACCCTAAAATTCATATGGACATGTAAGTGACCCAGAATAGCCAAAATTGTTTTGAAAGAGAACAAATTTAAGAGGATTCATACTTTCAGATTTTAAAGCTACAATAATCAAGATTATGTGGTATTGGCGTAAGGGTAGACATATACGTGAAGATTCCAGAAATAAGCCCATACATTTATGGTTAATTGATTTTGGACAAGGGTGTCAAGACAATTCACCGGAGGAATGAAATTCTACAAATGGTGCTGAGAACAGGTGGATAACCACATGCAAAGAATGAAGTTTCACCCTCACACCATGTACAAAAATTAATGCAAAATGAATCAAAGTCCTAAATTTAAGAGCTAAAGCTGGGGCGCCTGGGTGGCTCAATCAGTTAAGCGACTGACTCTTAATTTTGGTTCAGGTCATGATCTCAGGGTTGTAAAATCAAGTCCAGCAGTCTCTCTCCCTCTCTCTCTGCCCCTCCTCCTGTGCTCATGCACACACTCTCTCTCTTAAAAAAAAAGAGAGAGGGGCGCCTGGGTGGCTCAGTGGGTTAAGCCTCTGCCTTCAGCTCAGGTCATGATCTCAGGGTCCTGGGATCGAGCCCCACATCGGGCTCTCTCCTCAGTGGGGAGCCTGCTTCCCTCTCTCTCTCTCTGCCTGCCTCTCTGCCTACTTGGGATCTCTGCCTGTCAAATAAATAAATAAAATCTTTAAAAAAAAAAAAAAAGAGAGAGAGAGAGAGCTAAAACTATAAAACTCTTAGATAAAACAGGTATAGCTTTTCACGTCCTTAGACTAGGTAATGGTTTCTTCACTATGGCACCCTAAAGCCTAAACAACCCCCCCCAAAAAATATATATATACACACACACGCGCACGCACGTATACAGATACGTATATACATATAAATATATATGATAGATATATACATCATATATGTATGTATGTATATAAATTTGAATATTAAAATTTTTGTACTTAAAAGTGTACTTAAAAAGACACT